AGGTCTCTTGACTAAGACCCTAACCCACCCAGGTGCTGGGTCACTGCATGGGATTGATGCCTCTGTATTTGCAGGTTTAATGTCTCTAGTTCCCCGTGCCATCCCCACTGGCTGGCGTGGCATGGTATAGTTCATGTGTTCTATGTTGGCATCTGATTTGTGGGGCTTATCAAGCACTGCTCAACAGTCACAAGCTAAAAACTTGGTGAACATAAGGCACTCGGCAGCAAAAGCACTCTTTTTGGGTTCTTTTTTTAGTGTAGTAAAGGAAAGCTGTGTTACGCATGTTCTGATTTAGTGTTTCAGATGCTTGGTGTGGGAATTCAGCATTTCTGCTTTCACTGTATTTATGCCTTTGGTGTTTCAGTTAATTTTCTATGCCTCCATGCATTTTCAAAGTCCAGGCAACCAGCAGAGCTATTGCAGACACACATTGGGTCTGTGCTGATTTCCCTGGCTCTTAATCTGTCTCGGGGCTTGGTGAAATCCCAGTGTAAAAGCTGATGACGTATGGTTTGGATTGCTTTTGTTTCCCTCACATGGTTTGTTTATGTCCAGGGAGAAACTTCAGTGTGCTAAAACCTAAATTCCATCTGGAGTTAACTGATAAGTGAGCCTTCCCTATGCCTTTTGGTATGCAGTGAAATCTGGGAGCTTCAGGGGCTGAGCACCAGCACCCAGCAGCTTTCCAGCCTCGCAGCTGCTGTCTGACAACTCATGGTGAAGCAAGGTGCTGGCGACCAACCATGGATGCAGAGCACCAAAATTGCTAAACACCAAATCATCACATGCTGTTCTTGTGTTCAAACCATCCTGACGTAAGAGTACGGAGCTGCTGCTCTCGGCTGCTACCTGTACAAGGTGGGGGAAGCATCACAGGGTGCATTAGCAGTGTGAGGGGTGAAGAGGGCTGCAGAAAGTGAAAAAGCCGTCCATGTCTGCTGCTCCTGGCTGCCCTGCCCGGCTCTAAGCACCTTTCCTGTGCTGTTGCTTGCAGGGCTCTGTCTCAGGGGATGCATTTTCATTTAGAAATTGCAGCTTAGCTTGTTAACCTTTTGTGTGGTCTTTCCCTCTCTTTGCCCATATGTACCAGCAGAGCTGTTGGCCATGCTGCCACCTACCACACTGATGACTTGAAAATTGCTTTCAGAATTTTCATGCAAGTTATATATGCATATATGTCTCCCTGTGTTGTGCTTCCAGTGCTTCAAATCAGAGTTTTAGCCTGGCGCTTTGTAGCTGGCTGAATCCGAGTCCTGACAGTTTGCTCTTCATGTTCCTTCTGCAAGGTTGTGGCTGAACAACATGCTGCTAAAGTCCTGTCCTCATGGGTATTAGTTTAGGGTTGTTTTGAGGTCGTTCTTCTGTCAAATGGCACCCTCTCCCTCCCTGCCTGTCCAGGCTATGTGGCAGAAATGTTTCTAAAATCCCTTCTTACCTTGGGATGAAGTTGCCTTTTTGTATGTAAACTGAATAAAGACAGAATATGTACCACAGCCCTTCTGAAAGTTGTCTTTCCTTTTACTGAGGGTTTAAAATATAAAAATGCTCTTCAAGTTGATTTTCAGTAAGAACTACATATTGAAATTACCTAAGGTTTTAGATGCAGAAGATGACAGGAGCAAACGGTGCACAGGTTTGCTTGCGGGCCACAAGGCTGGGATGTAGAGCTGAGCTTGGTCTTTGTAAAATGTCAGTCTGGGTTTTTTTTTTTTCCTTTAAATATTGGATCTAAAGGAGAAAGGTCCCTGGTGGTGCAGTGGGGCCAGATCCTGCGCTGGCCTTTGCTGCCGGCTTCTCATTCACATTCCAAAGGGACATCCCGTGGGTGGGAAGGTTTCCTGCTCAAGCATGCTGCTAAGTCCTTGGGCCCATTGAATGGGTTTCATGCTCTGTGAAATGTCTGCTTGTTGGGTGATATGGACCACTGGAGCAGGGCAAGGGAAACTCATTTCACTGGGGGGACCTTCACAGCCCTACAAGCAAAAGGTCATGCTGCTCAGACTTTGATTGGAGCTGCCGAAGAGCAGTCACTAATCCAATAAGCCACCGAGGCACTGTAGGACATAGTCTTAATTCAGGCATTTGCATGGGTGAGTGAAAGGCAGTAACCCTGGGAGATCCCAGGGAACGCCCTGCAGTGCAGAGACCCTACCTGGCCTGCGTCTGGCTTAATAAAACATCATGAACGCCAAGCTTGCAGGAGCACGCTGCACTGGCCTTCGCGCCCCACGTATGCCATATGGAAAATAAAAGCTTAAAATAAAAGTGTTCATTTCCCAGTAGACATTGGCTGGGTTTATGTTGGGAATCGGATCAAATAGCAGCCTTCAGCAGAGAAGCAATAGGCCTATTGCTACGCACATACACACATATTTTCATAACAACTTGCAGCTAAGTGGTATTTCTATTTTGCCACATATATATGTGAGCTGCATAATCTGTTTTCTGCGCTCAACTGTGTTTGTCAAGGCTGGTAGCCTGAGATTCACTTAATATTGGTAGTATTCTCCAAGTAACTACTGGGGTTTTTAAAGGGTTTTGTCCAGCTATCGAGGCGCAAAGCATGGATCTAATTTAAATAAAGAACTCATGGGTGATTGCAAATTAAATGTTTTAATAATCAAAAAGAGAAAAATCCAATGTAGCCTTTTTAAAACAACTCCCCCAGGTGTTGCCCTGTCAGTTCTCGCTGAGGTGCTGTAGCTGCTGTGGTTTTCCCTGTTGTTGGGGAAACTGAAATTATAAACATTAGCGGCAGCTTCACAAATGACTTTTATAGCCATGTTGCTTCTGTCTGGGTGCAGCAGCCCTGGGCTGGCTTGGGTATTGGACAACGCCATCGGTTGCTGTCTAAGGAGCCTTTTCTCAGAGGTGGGTGTTGGGGCTGCCATGATGCAAAGCCCTGAAGTGGTGGGATGGGTGCTTGTGGCCACTGTAGGGACTTCCATCTCTTCCTCAGCGCTTGCCAATGGCATTTCTACATTGGACTGGCCTTCTGAGGGCACGCAGTAGAGAACCATGAACTTCCCTTTAGATACTATTTGCATCACTGGGATGTACAAGTGTAAAACATTGTCCTAGTTAAAGACCCTGAGATCCTGGAGGCCAGCCCACATGTTGGTGACATAGAGCAGCTTATGCGCTCAGCGTGCTCCAGGCTGTGCTCACATAGGAAAGGGGGGCAGGTCATGTGTGGGATGCTTTGGATTTGAAAACCTCACCAAGAAATACTGATTTCCGTATTACGGTTGCTGAATTTTCTGTACTCGTCGAAGGAGAAAAACACGATGCTTTCAGCTGGCACAAAATGTCACCTGTGTGAAAGATTCAGCTTTGAGGCTTGGCAGGATGAACCTGATGTCTGATGGGAACGGTGCAGCAGCTTGGCACTGTCATGGCAAGGGTGGAGACCAAGTTTCAAGTACTTGTTTTCTGCATGGATCCTGCTTCCTCAAGGATAATTTTGGGGTTGGGAAGAGAGAAAGGTGACATGGGCTGTTGGTGGAGCAGGAGAAATCTGATTTCAGCTGAGGCTGACATCCTTGGTCTGGTGTGGTCTGTGGCGCACTGGCCGTCTGTGGGAGACTTGGCCTTTTCAGGCTCTCCCTTGGGCGGAGAGGCCATGCAAGGCTTCCCACGGCCAACCTCTACCATCTTCCCCCTCGGCATGTGATTTATGACAAGACTGATTTTACAGCTTGCATTTGTGCCTAAAGAAGAGTTAAAGGGAAAAAAACTCTAAGGAGGGTGAAAGAAACCCATCAGGGCTCGACTCCTGCCCTGGGGCTATTTCTGAGACAGCTCAGATTAGTTTTCTGGTTGCTCTGAGTTTCAGAGGTCAAGAAAGCAGAGAAGGAGCAATCAAAGCTCATGCTTGCCGATGACTACGAGCAGCTGCAAGTGTTGGAGAGGAGTTACTTCCTTTCAGTCTACAGAACTGCCGTGTGCGTTGTGCAGGGTCTCCTTGGGTGGCAGATACTGGATTTAGCGGGGTGATGGGCTGGTGCCCATGGAAATGCTGGGCTTGACTCCCCGCTGTGCAGTGCCCATGGGTGACTGAGCAGTGCCCAGTGGCAGAAGGTGGGGTACGCTGGGTTCCTCCACACCTGGACTGCCTCAAGGAAAAGAAACATTGGTGACGATTAGGAATATGTTGAATATTTTCACATCTAGGCTAAATGCTCTCATTGTGTGAGTCCCCAGATTCTGTTTCTACTGTTTCTGTGTGGGCATCTTGGTGAGTTCAATGTACAGGGCTCGGGAAAGTGATTCTGATGGTCTTGGCCATCCTTGGAAACAGCCTTCAGCTGTGGCAAGGTGCCATGGGACCACTGTGATGGGGTTGTGTGGTGCCACTGGTGATGGTGGTATCAATAATCGACAGTGGTTTGGATTTTTTTTTTTTATTAACTTGTGGATCCGTAAGACCAGAAGTGTGAAGTCCCTTAGATATATCTAATACGTGAGTTAGTGCTGGAGGTTTTGTAAGAACTTGCTTTGGTCACTGTTTTCAAACTTCTTAACATTTTCTGTGCCTCTTGGGCCTGAAACCGTAGGTTAAAACCCCTGTGATTTGGTGTCGGAAGGGTCTCCGGTGATGGACTCCGGGGATTGAAGATGCTGCTTGCTTTGCGGCTGAGAACACGGAGGCAGAGCGCTTCGCTCCCCACAGGTGTGGGAGCAGCAGGGCCCAGCGCGCTGCGCCGATGTGCGCTGTTACTCGAGTGGAGAATTTGGAAAGCTCGGAGTTATGAGCTATGGTTATGTTCTCACTTAATAAGGTGTTAACTGATGTTAGGCGCTCTTCGGAGAGTTAGACTATGCGTGGAGGGTAACAGTTCCTGGCGTTTTGTCTGCTATAAACGAGCTTTCAGAGACGGGGAAAGAGTTACCGCACGCTCTCAGCGTGTGAATATTTTTCTTTACCTGGAAAAAAAAAAAAAAAAA